CCCAGGCCCGCGCCCGCCTCTGTTCGGTTCGCTCGGCCCCTCGCTGGCCAATTCACTGGTTTTGTTTGTTTTTGTTTGTTTTCGCTTGTCCGTCGGCTGCACTGGTCGCCCCAGGCCCGCCCGCCGCCGTTCGGTCGCTCGGCCCCTCGACTGGCCCAATTCACTGGTTTTGCTTGTCGCCCGCCGCCCCGCGGTCGCTCGGCCCCTCGGCTGGCTCCATTCCCTGGCGGGTTTTGACGCGGGTGGGAAGAAAACTGGGCCCCCCCCTCCAGAAAGACCCCCACCCCAAAAAGGCAAACAACGCCTAATTCCCATAGGAAACTGATATTTTAGCATACTAGTTTCTCTGGTTATAACAGCGTCGAAGCAACCCAAAAGGCCCCCAATATCGCCCCGGGACGGACTAAGGGCCCCCCAAGAGCGCCCCAAGACAGCCCCAAAGGGCTCCAAGACGGCCCAAGAGAGGCCCAAGACGGCCCAAGAGGGCCCCCAAAGGTTCCCAAGAGAGCCCCAAGAGGGCCACAGGAGGCTCCCAAGAGGGCCCCGGAGGACCCCAAGAGAGCACCCAGACAGCCCAAGCCCCCCAAGACGGCCCAAGGGGGTCCCAGGACGGCTCAAGAGGGCCCCAAAACAGCCCAACAGAGCCTCAAAAGGACCCTCGGGAAGGCCCAGAATTTCAATGCAATGCAATATTCATTGATTTTAGCCTGGTGGTTTGCTAGATGTTGGTATGCCGTGCCAGAGCCTTAATACCAACAGGGCTCCAATACACTAAGCCAACGACCTCGCGCCCTCGCAAAATAAACGCGCTTTCCGTCCCCATGCCAAGCAGGTCTCCAGTTTTGCGGCCTCTTGGAAACCTGTTGGGGCTTCCTGGGGGCCTCTTCGGGGCTTCTCGGGGCCTCTTGGGGGCAACGGACAAGCGAAAACAAACAAAAACAAACAAAACCAAATAATGGGGCCAGCCGAGGGGCCGAGCGACCGAAAGGCGGCGGGCGAGCCTGGGGCGACCAGTGCAGCAGCCGACGGACAAGCGAAAACAACTAAAAATTAGCCTGGCGAAAGACCCAACCATACGCAGTTGTGAATACCGCAATTGTGAATATATTCTTCGGTGGAGTTCCCTATGGGGCCACGAAACGTGTGAGGGGTGTGCCGAATTGAATGTAGGTGACGCATGCGGGCGGTGGCACTGGGGCCTTCGGTGGAGCTCCCTATGGGGCCACGAAACGCGCGAGGGGTGATAGTCGTGATGACGGCGATGATGATGACGATGATGGTGAAATGATGGCGGCCGTGAGGATTAGGACTAAAATAATGGTGATGACGGTGATGGTGACGACGACGACGATGATGATGATGATGATGCTGATGGTGGGAGGAGGGAGGAGGGGAAGGAGGGGGAGAGGAGAGGAGGAGACGCGGGGCGCTGTCTCTTCAAAGCGAGGACCCAACACCACAGGATTGTTGGGAACAAGGGAAGTGGGCCAGCCGAAGGGCCGAGCGACCGCGGTGCGGCGGGCGAGCCTGAGGCGACCAATGCAGCCGACGGACAAGCGAAAACAAACAAAAACAAATTAGCCTGGCGAAGGACCCAACCATATGCAGTTGTGAGAACCCAATTGTAAATACCGTCTTCTGTGGAATTCCCTGTGGGGCCACGAAACGTGTGAGGGGTGTGCCGACACGTGCGGGGTGGAGGCATGCGGGCCCTGCCACTGTGGCCTTCGGTGGCGCTCCCTATGGGGCCGCGAAACGTGTGAGGGGGTGCGCCGAACTGGGTGGGAACAAGCACAAAAAATCAAAAACAAAGAATTGGGCCAGCCGAAGAGGTCGAGCGACCGCGGGGCGGCCGGCGAACCTGAGGCGACCAGTGCAGCCGACGGACAAACGAAAACAAACAAAAACAAACAAAACCAGTGAATTGGGCCAGCCGAGGGGCCGAGCGACCGAAAAGCGGCGGGCGAGCCTGGGGCGACCAGTGCAGCCGACGGACAAGCGAAAACAGACAAAACCAAACAAAAACAAACAAAACCAAGCAATTGGCCAGCCGAAGGGCCGAGCGACCGCGGGGCGGCGAGCCTGGGGCGACCAGTGCAGCCGACGGACAAGCGAAAACAAACAAAAACAAACAAAACCAAGAAACAGGGCCAGCCAAAAGGCCGAGCGACTGCGGGGCAGCGGGCGAGCCTGGGGCGACCAGTGCAGCCGACGGACAAGCGACAACAAACAAGAGCAAACACAAAACCAACAAATTGGGCCAGCCGGGGGGCCGAGCGACCGAAAAGCCGCGGGCGAGCCCGGGGCGACCAGTGCAGCCGACGGACAAGCGAAAACAAACAACAACAAACAAACCCAATGAATTTGGCGATCCGAGGGGCCGAGCGACCGAAAAGCGGCGGGAGAGCCTGGGGCGACCAGCGCAGCCGACGGAGGAGCGAAAACAAACAAAAACAAAGAAAACAATTGAATGGGGCCAGCCGAGGGGCAGAGCGACCGAAATGCGGCGGGCGAGCCTGGGGCCACCAGCACAACCGACGGACAAACAAAAACAAGCCAAAACAAATAACACCACTGAAATAAGCCAGCCGAGGGGCCGAGCGACCGAAAAGCCGCGGGCGAGCCTGGGGCGACCAGTGCAGCCGACGGACAAGCGAAACCAAACCAAAACAAACAAAACCAAGCAATTGGCCAGCCGAGGGGCAGGGCAGAGCGACCGAACGGCGGCGGGCGAGACTGAGGCGACCAGTGCAACCGACGGACAAGCGAAAACAAACAAAAAACAAACGAAACCAAAGAATTGGGCCAGCCGAGGTGCCGAGCGACCGAAAGGCGGCGGGCGTGCGCAGGGCGACCAGTGCAGCCGACGGACAAGCGAAAACAAACAAAAACTAAGAAAACAAACGAATCTGGCCAGCCGAGGGGCCGAGCGACCGCGGGGTGGCGGGCGAGCCTGGGGCGACCTGTGCAGCCGACGGACAAGCGAAAACGAACAAAAACCAACGAAACCAAATAATTGGGCCAGCCGAAGGGCCGAGCACCCGAAAAGCGGCGGGAGAGCCTGGGGCGACCAGTGCAGCCGACGGACAAGCGAAACCAAACAAAAACAAACGAAAGCAAGGAATGGGGCCAGCCGAGGGGCCGAGCGACCGCGGGGCGGCGGGCGAGCCTGGGGCGACCAGTGCAGCCGACGGACAAGCGAAAACGAACAAAAACAAACAAACACAAAGAAATCGACCAGCCGAGAGGCCGAGCGACCGCAGGGCGGCGGGCGAGCCTGAGGCGACCAGTGCAGCCGACGGACAAGCGAAAACAAGCAAAAGAAAACAAAACAAAAAAATGAGCCAGCCGAGGGGCCGAGCGACCGAGACGCGGCGGGCGAACCTGTGGCAACCAGTACAGCCGACGGACAAGCGAAAACAAACAAAAACAAACAATACCAAGGAATGGGGCCAGCCGAGAGGCCGAGCGACCGCGGGGCGGCGGGCGAGCCTGGGGCGACCAGTGCAGCCGACGGACAAGCGAAAACGAACAAAAACAAACGAAACCAAGGAATGGGGCCAGCCGAGGGGCCGAGTGACCGCGGGGCGGCGGGCGAGCCTGAGGTGACCAATTGCAGCCGACGGACAAGCGAAAACAAACAAAACCAAACAAAACCAAGGAATGGGGCAAGCCGAGGGGGCGAGCGACCGCGGAAGGTGGGCGAGCCTGGGGCGACCTGTGCAGCCGACGGACAAGCGAAACAAAAACAAACAAAAACAAACAAAACCATTGCATGGGGCCAGCCGAGGGGCCGAGCGACCGCGGGGCGGCGGGCGAGCCTGGGGCGACCAGTGCAGCCGACGGACAAGCGAAAACGAACAAAAACAAACAAAACCAAGGAATGGGGCCAGCCGAGGGGCCGAGCGACCGCGGGGCGGCGGGCGACACTGGGGCGACCAGTGTAGCCGACGGACAAGCGAAAACAAACAAAACAATCAAAACCAAGGAATGGGGCCAGCCGAGGGGCCGAGCAACCAGCGTCGCCCAGGGAAGTGACAACCAAACCATAGAAGTAGACTAGGTTTGCGCCCGCCCCCCAAGACAAGAAAAAAATATAGATTCTTGAAATAGGAAGGCGCTTACAGTAGATTGGGATCTGGGAATCCAAAAATACCTACTTTCAACGACCGGTGGGTAGTTGATTCAATAGATGCGTGGCCGAAGCCACGAACCCCCGTGAATCACATAATAGTCGCGACCCCGAAGCCATAAACCATCGTAAAGTACATAATTCTCGCGCCACCGAAACCATAAACCCTTGTAAATTAATATCGACCCTCGCGTGAAGTCCCGACATTGCTTCACGCCAGCGTCCAGACATCCCAACACAGCTCTGGCAAGTCCCATTCTGAGCGAGGGGGGCCGGCGGCATGGGGGCGAAGCCCTTGCGGACAAACTTGCCCGACCCCCCCCTAAAAAACAAGCAAGCTCACAGGGGGGCTGGCTAGGAGTATGGGCGCGGGTCGTCAGACCCTGGGGGGGCCCCCTTCCAACGGCACGCACCCAGAGATCTCTTGGCCCCCTCCGCCCCCCCCCCCTACGTATGAGTGTGAGTGTGTGATGTTCCTTCGCCACCAGGCTTCTTCGGCCCCGGCTCCGCGCGCGGCTCCCCGCCCAGCAGCGCCCCGAGCTGCCTCCACAGGAACTCGAAGGGGTCCTCTGGGAACCGCGCGCCTCCACACTGGGGTACGGCAGGTTCGTGTCGTGTCGACCCAGGCGTTGGTTCCTGACACCGCGGGGATCGTTCAACCTTGAACGATCGGCCATTTCCGCAACGTCCAATCGTTCAACATCGACCGATTCTGGGCCGCCGCCAGCGTTCAACGTTGATCGCCGGCGGCGGGGTCGCCGCCGGTCGACACGACACGACCCTACCGTACCTGGTTCCTGTCCCATGGGGCTTCTCCAAAACGCTACAGGACAACGTGTGTAGTGTATAATTATCTGGCCAGTTCTCTGGCCAAGAGGTGCCGAAACAAGTGCATAGAAGGCGCGTTTGAGCCGCCACTTGCCACTACACAGCATGGTACAGTGGACATGCTGGTGGCCCGATCCTCCGGCCTCGCCTCCACCAGAGCCTGCAGCAGGCGCTGCATGTACTCGAGGACCAGGAACTTCTCGAGGTACTGCTGCGTGGAGGCCACAGCCTCCGCCTCCGCGGCGCTCTGATCGGCGGCTGGGGGCTCCGCCGCTGTGGGCCCGAGCTGGCTCAGCAGCAGCCGGAAGCTGCCGGGCGCCCCCCCGTCTCTGTCCACGCCGACCGTGTAGCCTGAGGCCACCCAAGGCATCTGGCGCTCCAATTGTTTTGCTGCGTGGACCCCCAGAGGTCTGGACCACTTCCCCAGAGGGCTGACTTTTCGTCCTGAGTTGTGTTTTGACAATCCCGAGGCCGCTCCAATTTTTGTAGGAGCCTCGGAGCTCTGCCGGGTGCAGCACCAGGCACTCGCTGGCCAGCGGCTGCAGCAGGTCTATCTTCAGGTGGCCGCTCGCACCTGGGGAAACCAAAAGGTACCGATACCGCTACTCCCTGGGCCTCTCCTGGGGTGCGTTCTGACTAGGATTTCGAGGCGGATCCAGCGGGGGCGCCGAGGCCCAAAAAGGCGAGGGAAGGGTAGCAGTACAGGTCCCAAACATGCGACGCCCTGATTTGTA